GGAATTTTTCATTACATACGGGCACCCATGATCTCACTTAATGACTCAGATGCGCTTAGACAAAGAAGAAATAAAGTGTATTTGACTTCCCGCTAATTTGCACCAGATGTCCCTTGCCTGTTTGGCAGGATGGTGGGACCATTGAGCATTGTGGGAGTGCCTGGAAGCCCTGCAAGAAAAGGGGCTACAAATAGAAATCCAGAGGAAGAGAAAGGATTGGCGGCTGTGTGAGAGGCCTGACTTTGCCTCTCCACTGCTTCGTGGTCATGCTGCTGCCAGATGAGATGCCCTCATGGGCAGGGCCGGCTCCAGCAACTCTGCCCAGTGTCACAGGAGTGGGGAGGAGAGCAAGGAGAGCATAGATAGGAAGAAGAGCAGTGTGGGACAATATGTGCGGGAATTGCCCCTGGAAATGCAAATAGGATTTTCTGACAGGGGGCTGTGCACCCTGATTTCCAGCTGACAGCACACCCCCTTACTGGTGATCGATGGTCTGTAGGGACCAGAGCTCCTTGCAAGGTGGTTGTCACAGCAGCTGTGGCTGCTTTCCTGTTCCCCAGCATGCTGAGCTATCTCTTCCTTGTCCACCAGCTCTGCAGGCTGGTTCCCAGCTCCCACAGCTCTAGAGGTGCTTGTGGGACCTTCCCAGTGGTTCTGCACAGGACATTGGTTGTGGAGAGGCAAGAAACCTGGTCTAGGCATGCTGGGGAGGATGGCAGAGGACTGGGAGGGCATCCTTGGTGTGGATGTTCCTCTGTGTAGATCTCCCATGGTTTAAGGCATTTGCAGGGCTGGAAATGACCCTGTCCCACACGATCCATGATTGGGGACAGGCAATGCCATGCAATGGCTGCCACGTTTGCTGAAAGGATCTGCCAGGAGCCCTGTGCTGTACACATGCTGGGAGCAAGCACAGAGGGAAGAGGGCTCGGAGGTGTGGCACGGCATGCAAAGCAAAGTCAGAGGAAATTCTTGCCTTGTTACCCAAGAATAGTCAAGACTGAGCCCACATAACATATTTTGGCCATTAGCAAAGGCATCTTTGGCTTACTAGAATCCTTAAAGAGAGAGGTTTGGCATGGGGGAATATTAATAAATCAATAAGGTTTGGTGATGCAAGGCACTGTGAGGTGCAAGGAGTAGCAGAGGTGACTGAGGGAGAGGTCCTCCTCAGACAAAGGTGGTACCATCCCCAGCAGAGGCTGGATACTGCTCTTCCTTGTATCAAAAGCCCTGGGCGTAGCCCTGCTCCTGCTGCAGAAATTCCTGTCCAAGTTCATCAGCCACAGAGGCATCAGCCCCCATCCACACGAGCGAGGGAGTGGGAGAGGAGGCGGAGGAGAAAGCTCAGCTGTCATCAGATTTGGGATGCAGGAGAAATGGGAGCGGGCTGCTCTGGAGAAGCTGTGAAGTCATGAGATGGGGAATCATGAGACTTGAATCCCGGTCCTGGCGCAGCCGTGGCCCTGGCCGTGCTGTTTGACCTCTGCTCTGGCCCTCTTGCCTGTGTCCTGTCTGTGGGATCCCAGGCCATCAGAGCCCAGGGTGCTTTCTGCTGCTGCTGCTCAGGGATGTCAGGGTGACCCCATTTATTCCACTGCCCCATGAAACCCACTGCTGGAGTACGAGGCTAGAGATGCTCGAACACACACGCTTCCAACAGTGTCTGGCCCCAGCCAGCCATGGGACACTTTCCTTCGCCAGCGCAGCGGTGGGCTGGGAAAGCCGGCGGCCCCGGGGTTGTCTCTGATCTCTTCCTCCTGGCTGCAAACTCCACTCTCCGCTCTGGATGTCCGGGGGAGGAGCGGCCGCTGGGTGCATTCCTGTGACCACACGTGCGGCCAGGCTGGTGTGATTACAGAGGGGAGATAAGGACAGTGTCTGTGTCACCGAGCAGGGACAATTGCCTGTATCTGTGTCTCCAAACCCTCCCGGCGGTGCCCAGCTCTGGCCTCACTGGGCAGCAGTGTGGGTGCAAGCAGGGACACGCTGTGTTGGTTGTGGGGGAGCTGGCGCTCCCCACAGCCCCCGGCCGAGCCCCAGTCCGGCCCCTGGGACCTGAGCCCCCAGGGGAGCACAGCCACCCCACAGGCATGTGGGGCTGGACGTGGCGTGGATCTGTGTCACCCAGCCAGCCCGGCTGCCCTGCGAGCCAGCCGACCTCCTGTCTCCTCTCCCAGCCAAATTCCTCCTTTAGAATAATAAACAGTGCAGCTCAAGAGAAAAGCTCCCTCCCCTGCTTGACCAGGACCGGCTTAACCTCAAATCACAGAGACAGAGAAGGGTGGAGAGAAGGTCTGTACCTGTGCTGGCAAGGGACGGGAGGATGGTGAGGGGTATAAGGTGGGGATGGAGAGGTGGGACATCACCTCGGTGGCAGCAAGGGGGGAGGCTGCTGCAGAGCTGCAGGGCGGAGTGAAGGGTGCTGGATACGGCATTGCTGTGGGAGCTCCCTGGCCTCCAGGACTGTGCCAGGATGGGTGGAGGCAAATGATCCCAGGGCTTGAAAATACTCAGGTCCTGGCCTGTGGGAAGCATATAGGAGTCTGAGGGGTCCGTGGCACCCTGCTAACCTATTGGGGTGGGAGGAGACCATTCAAGGCAGCTGAGCATTGTGTAGGTACTTGTGTTTGGGTCCCTGGGTGGGATAATGTCTGCTTTTGGATCACTAAGTGGGGTTGCCCCTCCTTGTCTGGCACTCATAGTGGCACTTACAGTTCCTGCTGAGAACAAAAGCTGGGATTGAGGAGAGAAACAAGTGCTCTCCAGGTTGGCAGTGAGCTTGGGTGCATTTGCATCCCTTGTGAAATGCCTGCGTGCACTCACAAGTGCAAGCACATGTGTCCCCGTGACAGGGCGAGAAAGGCTTCTCCCTTCTGCAAGGCAGTCTCCCCGTGCGTCCTGCAGGGCTGGCAGAGCTCAGAGTCTCCGAGTCTGCCTCTAGCCCTGGCCGGAGCAGAAAAACAAGGGAGAGGTCACCACTCTCTGCGAGACGTTGCCACCCTCCCACTCTGCTTGGGAAGCATCTCCAAGAGAAATGCCTTTCTGCAAAAGCTGCAGCTTTATTAAAACCAGCTATGAACACAGCGGAGGCGGCCAGAGGCGGCAGGCGGAGGCTGTGGGGCTCTCACTGCTCGCTGAAGCAACACCCCTGCCAGCCCAGGACCAGCACACACTCGTGCCCGGCTCCCCAGCGCCGGCAGGGCAGGGGTTTACCCCATCAGTGATCCTGCAGAGATCACTGGTGGAGTGAGGGACCTGTCTTTGTGGGAAGAGGAAGACAAGATCTCGCCTGCAACAGGAGTAAGTGGCAGCCATGAAGCTGGACAGGCAGCTAAACGCTGGGCATGGGCTTGGGAAGATCTTAGCTGCTTACAGGAAGGTATTTGGGGGTTGGGGAGGTGAATACACCACCTGGCTTGTGCATGCAGGCAGGGAGGGGTGAAAGGAGAGGATCACAGTTGTCCTTACAACCTTGAACGTTGAATAATGGATGAATCACACACCTCTGTAAAGGAGAATTGGAAAACGAAGGTAATTGTTCTTCAGTGCCTTGGGGGCAGAGATTAGGTTGTCTATTCTTCTCCTCTCTACTGCAGCTTGGTGCTCTCTGAGGGTGGGTGCAGGGAGGTCACATTCATTTACAGCCTAAATTTCACCTCGGTCCTTTCATCCTACCCACCCCCAGCTCTTCCCCTAAGTGCTCTTATCCCCTCTGGCAAATGCAGAGAGAGAGAGTCATGGAGGGGTTTTCTGGCGGGGCGGGGGGGAGAGAGGGAAGTTGCTGAATAAGCTGGAGACCTGGAAGGATTTGCTGGTAGATCAGACTTTTGTTGAGCCAAAGTAAGAGAATAATAAAAACATCTGACAAACGCACGTCATTTAAAAACCATTTCCTCCTTAACATCAAGCAGACCGGGAGGCCACTCCAGGGCCAAGAGGCTGCAGAGAGCTCAGTAAGAGACGGTGCCTGGGGCCAGGTCAGCGAGTTCAGGTTGCCACTAAACCATCCTCGAGCCTGGTGAGCGGCTCCCCAGAGCACTGCTGGCACCGCAGGGGGCTTCTCTCGGGGTGTGTCCTCCCAGGGGCAGGGCAGGAGCTCAGCCCTGAGTTGCGGCGTGGCTGAGCCGTGAAGTTCAGCTCCGTGCAGGAGCGTCCCCAAGTTCAGGACCACTGAACTCATTTTCCCCCAGCTTTGCCCAGGCACAGAGAAAGCCTTTCCCCTCACTCTTCCCCTTGTTAGTGTGTTCATTTTGCTTTTCAGAAATACTCATCGCCACCCCTGCAGGCATGAAAAGGAGGGTTACCCGACACCCCAGTACACAGGGGACAGACTCCTGCTTTTAGGGAAATCTGGCCTCGTCTCTTCTGGGCTCTTGGTTTGCACCAGGAAGGGCTGAAAAATCTCTGTGGAAAAGATTCCTTGAGAAATTGTGATGAAAAGGATTTTTAACAAAAAAACCCTCTTAAATATTCTCTTAAATGTATAAATTTAAAAGTTAAATACAAGAAACTAATTTTTTGTGGGGTTTCTTCAGGCTTGTCATGTTTTAACAAGGCTTCCTTTATTTCATTGGAAGGAGCAAACAATGTGGGAGGGTTGGAGTGGGATCTGTTTTCTAGCAAGTTTTATCTCAGTGGGACTGAAGGAAGAAAAACTAAGGGAAAAAAAGGCAAGTGATAGAGCAGAGGGAGGGAGGAAGGGGGGAGAGCGGCATTTCCAGCAGAGATGAGCAAAAATTTACACAACTGCTGGAGCCTCCAGCAAAATCCCTGTTTACCAGAGGGAGATGCCTTAGAAACTGCTCCTTGTGGAGATCCAGTGTGAGGGGGAACCAACCAACCAACCACCCTGACAGGAGGGAAAGGCTGAAAACTGGAAAGAGATGGGAGGTTTCTGAGGTGGAGGAGGGAGCCCAGGGCTTGGGTGTGGGCTCAGGGATGGCTGAGGGACCCCTCCTCTGCTGAGTGCTGTGCTCATCCCACTTTGTTCTTGACAGGATTCAGCCACCAAGCCTGGACCCCACCATGCTGTGCCCTGCTCCAAACACAGGTCTCTGGCTCCTCATCCTCACTGGTGAGTGCTGTGGCTGGGGAGGGTGTGCAGGATCAGGGGATCCCTGGGGCTGTCCCCTGGCAGCTGTTCTGCCCACCCATGGGGACACCAGGGAGGAGCACATGTCCCAGCCCCACTGGGACATCTAGACAAAGGGTGAAGCAAGGAAGCTGGGAGAGACACAGGGAGCCATTCAGGAAGACCTTGCCTGCTCTATTGCTTCCAAAGGATTTCCTGCAAGGTTTTGCTTTCATTCCTTTTTCACTCTCTTGTAAACTGACATTGTTTCAGCCTGCTCTGTGTCCTGTCTGACACTGTCCCTGTGGAGAGGCAGCTATCAGTGCAGGGAATTGCCTCCTCTCCTCCTCTCATCCTTGCCTACTAAATGCATGGCCTTCCCAAACCTTTGAGGGTGCATCTGAGAGGTGCATACTCTGCTTTTACAGAGACAGGCTCATTTTGGGGTCAGCAATATGATCATATAGATTGTCATCTCCCTGGGCCATGTAGACCAGATCATAAGATGTATAAAAGCCAAAAACGTGAGAAATATGTGTGGGAGGCCCATGTCCCACCCATTTCCAGTTTTGTCCTCATCAAGGATGCTCCTTGGGCTGGTCCGACACCCAGCATCAGAGCATGGCTGCCTCCCTGACTCTGTTCAAGGCCCCAGCTTAACGCTGCCCCAAGTCCCTCCTGAGCCATCCTGATGACACTGGACAGCAGCACTTGGTGGCACTGAGGGTGCAGTTACCTTGCAGAAAGGTTGGATGAAGGCAGACTAGTTAAAGCATAAAATGGGAGGTCCTCCACCCAGCATTGCCACAGACAATATGGGCTACTTTGAACACTGCTAAACCTTGTCACGTCTTATTTGTTCTCCAATAAGTGTTGCAGGAGGTACAAGGAATGAAGGGTGAACCTCCAAGGTCTAGGCTGGCTGGACGTTTCTGAGGAGGGCTTGGTTTGTCAATGATGACAATGCCAAGGAGGACAAATCCAGGAAGGTTATTTTTCAGTGTAAAGGCCGACACAACAAAGCAATTACATTGGCATGAGGTGGTGCTCCAGCTTCCTTCTGCTTGGATTTCGGAGGAATCATCTCATCTCCCTCCTCTCTCAGGTCTGCTGGAGGTGACGTCTGGGGGCAGCAGGCTGCACATCGAACCCACAGACACTCAGCTTGAACTCGGCCTCCACAGCACCTTCTCCCTCTTGTGCTACGGGGACGGAGAGCTGGTCTGGGAACGGGAGGGTCAGCCCCTCTTTGCCTCACTGGAGCACAGGGATGGTGTCTTTGTCAGCAACCTCACCCTCAGGAATGTGACAGGCCATCACACCGGGGAGTACACGTGCACCTACAGCCCTGAGCAGGCTCCAGAGCCAGCAGAGAGGAAATCCCTGTACATCTACGTTCCAGGTAGGGAACAGCACACCCGTGTCTCTGCATTTCCACAGGGTTTAGCAACCAGGAGAAAGAGAGTTTTGAATTATTGTCTTATTCTGTGTCCAAGCACCTGGCCTCCAAAATCCCTCCTCCAATTGCAGGAGAGCCCTTATGGCAGGTCTTTCTAGCTGTGGCATGTCTCTGGTATGCCAGCTCTTGGAGAGACCCATGTGTGGTGTGCTGGGACAAGTGGTGGGGGACAAAGGTGGTTCTGGGTCTCTCTCACCCTTTCAGGAGAGGTTTGACAAGCCCACAGCATACAGGTGTACTTTGCCATGGGGTGTATGTGAAGAAGCATCCCACTAGTGTGGAGACAAGGCCCTGTTTTGGAACATTCCAGGAGGAGCAGAGAGCAGTCCTGGTTAAACTTCAAGCAGGTTTCTGTAACCAGTATTCCCTCTCTCCCACAGATCCCTCCCTAGTCTTCCTCCCTGCAGTCACCTCTGAAGAGGTTTTCATCTTCATCACGGGCTACACAGAGGCTGTCATCCCATGCCGTGTGACCAACCCACAGATGCAGGTGACCCTCTATGAGAAGAAGGTGGAGAACCCCATCCCAGCTGCTTATGATCCACAACAAGGATTTAAAGGCTTCTTTGAGGATAAGACCTATTTCTGCCGGACATTTGTGGATGACCAGGAGGTGGATTCAGACACCTTCTACGTCTACAGGATCCAGGGTGGGCTGCCATTGTCTTAGCACAGCTGTGTGCCTGCTGTGGCTGTTCCTTCAGCCCAATGGCAGGGGACACCAAAACTCTCCCTCTGCTTCCTCAGTGATGGCCCTGATCAGTTTGGAGGCTGGATTTAGTCCTGTCTTTCTTCCACCTTTCCCACAGTGTCGTCTGTGAACGTCTCCATCAGCGCAGTGCAGACCATAGTGCGTCAGGGAGAAAACGTCACCGTGCTGTGCACCGTGAGTGGCAACGAGCTGGTCAACTTCAACTGGGATTATCCCCGCAAGCAAGTGAGTGCTCCAGACCCACAGGATCCAGGCAGCAGCGCCAGCCTTTGCCCAGATGTCCCATGGCAATCACTCATCAATATCTCATGGCAGAATCCCCATGTGGGATGATGCTACAGCTGCGTAGGGAGGTTTGATGGGGATATCCTTGGATTGAGGCTGTCTCAATGGCCTCTCATCTGTGCATGTTCCCCGTCCCTGTGGCAGCCAGACTGGGGTACTCTACCCTTTTCTGATCCCTCCCTGTCAGCCCAGCTTTATAGCTCCAGTGGCAGAACATGCTCTTCAGTCCTCAGACCATGTCTCCTGTCCCATTGTGCAGGCAGGGAAGGCTGTGGAGCCGGTGACCGACTTCCTGCCCGGATCCACCCACGAGATCCGCTCCATCCTCATCATCCAGAATGCAGAGCTGGAGGACAGTGGGACCTATGTCTGCAATGTCTCCGAGGGCTACCATGAGAAAACAGACCGGAAAGACATCACAGTCCAAGTGATCGGTGCGTTGCTGCCCACACGCCCAAAGCCAGCAAACCATGTGGGCGTCCAGGCAGGGAGTCCCAGTGACCCCCTCTCCTCTCTGCACACTCTTCCCTCCCCACCTCTGCTCTAAGTAACCATGGCAAAGAGCAAATCCTCACCCCATGTCACCCCTGCCCACTTCTTGGCTTCAAAACATCCCAAATCTCCCATCATGGCTTTTGTGACCCTTTAAGGCACTTGAGGGTATGGGTAAGAGCTCTTCTGCACTGCACAGTGCCAAGGTAATGTGAAGACATATTGTCACCTCCCATCTGCATCTGTCCTCTTTTGTGTAATTTGAGGGAACCTGCCCCATCCCTTTTATCTCCCAAGGCAACACCCACATGCTGCTGCCCTGTGAGAACCTCTGCTCCAGTGTGGCTCTGCAACCACACTCCCCTCAGACACAAGCTTGAAGCCTCGAGGGATGGATCTGGAGCTGCTGGGTGTTCAGAGAGTTTTGTTCCAGATCCATGTTTGTCCAAAGGGATGGAGAGGGGTTTATTTCTCGATCTGATCCCCCTTATCCCTCTTGCCCCCTCTCAGAGCGTGGCTTTGTGCGTTTCCACACCCACCTGCCCAGCACGGTGTACGCCGAGGTCCACAAGAGCCGTACCATCCAGGTGGAGGTGGAGGCCTATCCCCAACCCAGCATTGTGTGGCTGAAGAACAACAAGACATTGACCATGGAGAGCAGCAGCGAGTTCACCATCACCAGCAGGAACCTCTCAGAAACCAGGTTGGAGCCCATAATTTCTCACCAGGGTGCAGGGAGGGGATATTTCACAAAGTAACCTCCAAACTGCTGGTTGGACACAGTGGTTGAATGCTTTTCCATGGGTGGATTTCAAGCACACCTCAGGTGGGTGGGAGCTTGGTTGCCTCCAAGCATTATCAGTCCCCAGGTACCTTCCCACACCCATCACTCCGGGACTGTGTCTCCCCCAGGTACCAGACAGCTCTGGTGCTGGTGCGGGTGAAGCAGGAAGAAGGAGGATTTTACACCATCCGGGCTTTCAATGAGGATGATGAGCAGGAGCTGTCCTTCCATCTGCAGATAAATGGTGAGGACTGGCATGGAGATGCCGGGCTGAGGAGTTTGGGAGCAATCTCAGGTGGTGGCACCGTCCTTTGCTGCAGAACCCTCAGGCTGAAGCCCTTATTCCTCTGGCTACAGCTCCAAAGTGGTTTTGGTTAAAGTAAGAGCATTCCAGCAAGAAACATGCTCATTTGAAATATCTCACACTTTGTCTCAGAGCAAGGGGGACAGGGAGATAGCATAGACATCAACAGCTTGACCTTCATGCCCTGGCCCAAGGCAGTAGATGAAGAGATGATTGCACAGCTCTGATGTCCAGGACTTTCCTCACACTCACCTATGCTTTCCAAGCAAGCTAGATGGGGCAGATCTCCTCCACAACCCCCTCAAAACTTTCTCTTTTTGCTGTTGGCTTTCAAAAATAAACCACAATTGATGTGATGAGTCCTGCCTCATCCCTAGGCTATGGCAGGGATGCAGTAGAGTCACATTCCCTAGTAGAATCACTTTGCCCTTTCATCCTGCAGTCAGAAAGGAGGATTAATTCCCACCACTGTCTTTTGGTTTCAGTACCAGCCAAAGTGGTGGATCTCAAGGAGAACAGCAGTGCCAGCAGTGGGGAGCAGACTGTGACATGCTCTGCTGAAGGCATGCCCCAGCCAGAGATCAGCTGGTCTGCTTGCAGCGACATCAAATGGTGAGTGGAGCGACGGATCCCAAGGGAACAGCTGGATTCTTGCATTTATTAGAATAATAGACTATTACTTACATGTATCCTGCTGGCCTCACACCTGGGCGTGGTCCCAGCTGCCTCTCAGGTGCCTTTTATCTTCCCCTGGACCAGGTGCAGCACCAAGGGTCAGCCCACCCGGCTGCTGGGGAACGAGTCTGCCGAGATCGGGCTGCAGACCAACGCCACATACCACGCGGAGCGGCAGGTCTTCCGCGTGAACAGCACCCTGCAGCTGCACAGGGTGGACGAGCCCATGCTCCTGAGGTGCACCGTGCAGAACTTCCTGGGCACCAACTCCCAGGACATCACTCTGGTCCCACACGGTGAGGGCTGAGGGAAGTGGGCTTTTCTCTCTGTGGCTCCAACTTGGAGGTGCTGGGAGCCAGGACTGCAGCCCTCAGAGGCAGAAAACCTGGGTGTTTCTGACCAAAATGAAGCCTCCTTTGGGTTGAGCAGAAAAGGTTGTTCCAGGGGAAGTCTGGAGCCCTTATGTCCACTGGCCACAGATATCCTCTTCCCACCATTGGCAGGGTCATCTCTCCAGGCAGGCAAGACAACAGACCTGAGCAGGTCCTAGGTGTCTTGTTATTAGCCCACGAGTCACTAGATGGTGCCAGGGACTTGAACATCTGTATGCTGAACATCCCAAATATGAGGAAGGATGGTCTAAGCCCAGTCCCAGGGCTGCCAGCTCTCTCCCAGGCAAACCAGCCCCTCTAGCTCCTTACACCCTCCCATGGCCAAACCCCTCCTGCAGCAGGCCCTTCAACAGGTGGTAACAACCTATGGCTCCATCATCCCTGGGGAGCTGGCCCTGGAAATGCCGGGCAAGTCTGCCCAGGAAGAGAGTCCAGAGACAGTCCCCACACAGAGGAGAGCTCAGGGTCAAGACCTTGGGGGAAAGAATGTAGCAGAAGGGGGGCAGTGACCAGAGGGAGGGAAGGTGAAGGATGTGGGGACACCTCTGTGTTGCTGTCCCCTCCTTTCCCCAGAACATGCAGGAATAGAGGAGTCTGACTGCTGTCCCTGTTTCCATTGTAGCCTTGCCATTCAAGGTGGTCATCATCTCTGTCATCCTGGCCTTGCTGGTCCTCACTGTCATCTCCCTCATCATCCTGATTGTCCTGTGGCAGAAGGTAAAAGAAGAGAGTGTTCCCAGGCTGACACAGTGGTACCTCCACGTTAGGGTGGTTGGCCTTGATGATGTCCCAGCCATGCCAGAGGCCATGGGCTTCCATCAGTGCCTGTATGCCCCTGACATCTCCAGACTACATGGGAAATGAGGCAATGGCTGCAGGGATCAAATATTCCCTGAAAAAGCCCACTGACATCCCCCATGGCTTCTCTGACCCTCAGCCTCTTAGGTGTCTCTTTTCCCTTTGCTCCCTTTTCCAGAAACCTCGTTATGAAATCCGCTGGAAGGTGATTGAGTCAGTCAGCTCCGATGGGCACGAGTACATCTATGTGGATCCCATGCAGCTCCCTTATGACTCCACCTGGGAGGTGCCCAGGGACAAGCTGGTGTTAGGTAAAGGCTCTGCAGGTCCCGCTGATGGACCCCTGGGGCCCTGACTGTCTGGGGGTGATAAGTTTTGATTTGTGATCTCTAAAACAGACCAACCCAGAATAGACACAGAGATCCCTGGAGATATGATGTGGTCCTTGAACAGGGGGACCATCTGGGACCATGATGGGAGGCCAGCTGCCCACTTAGGCATGCAACACTGGCTACCCTTTCTTGCAGCTGGTAGTTATGGAAAACAGCCCCATCACAGCTCATGGCCATGTCCATGCCCACCAGGACAAACTGCAGCAAAACTGGTGTGGTTTCAGAGAGGGGCCTTGTCTTTTCCAAGCTCCTCTCTTCACCTCTCCTCGAGAACCACTGCCACCTTCATCTCCGTGCTGTTTCCTTGCAGGACGTACTCTCGGCTCTGGTGCCTTCGGTCGCGTGGTGGAGGCAACAGCCCATGGCCTGAGCCATTCGCAGTCCACCATGAAGGTGGCAGTCAAAATGCTCAAGTGTGAGTTGTCCCCCCACCATCCCTTTCCCCCATCCAAAAGCCACAAGGCCAAACCATGCCGTACACTTCCCTCCTTGCCCTGCCACTCACACCAGCTCTCCCCAACAGCCACAGCCCGGAGCAGCGAGAAACAAGCCCTCATGTCTGAGCTGAAGATCATGAGCCACCTGGGACCTCACCTCAACATTGTCAACTTGCTGGGGGCCTGCACCAAAGGAGGTAGATGAACTCTGAGCACCCTGTCTCCTTTTCCTGCTATCCTGGGCTGTGCTGAGGAGAACTGCCCTCAGACAGAATAATTCCTGTTTTCTGGTTCATAATGATTCACCCTTCCCTAAGAAAGCCTTGTGGGGCTCCAAATGCCTTTCTTCCAACCTGATTGAAACTGAGAAGGTATGTGTCAGTTAACCCCCACCTCCCTCCACATACACAAACTTCAAAGGCCAAAAATACTCAATACCAGAAAGGTGGCATTTCCCCTGGCCCTGCCTAGGCATTCTGCACTCTGATAATGTCCCTGTGGGATGAAATTCACTGCTGTGGTGGCCAAAGCAGGGCTGACACTGGTGCTTTCTCCCTCCCTCCAGGACCCATCTATATCATCACCGAGTACTGCCGCTATGGGGACCTGGTGGACTACCTGCACCGCAACAAGCACACCTTCCTGCAGTCCTATGGAGAGAAGGCACGGCGAGAGGCAGAGCTGTATGGGAACACCCCCAAGGAGGACCATGTGCACAGGTACCTGCAAAGCAGCAACCTCCTCTGCCCTGGTGCCTACCCTACCTTGACCCCATAAATGAGGGAGGCTACCACTACCAGGAAGGATACCTACATTTCCTCCACACCAGTGAAATCCACACTGTGCCGGCACTGGGACACAGCTCGCTGCTCTGTTGCCTTGTCAGACCAGCTCACGTGCTAACCAGCCACCTCCAAACAGCTCCTGGCAGAGGGCAATTAGCAGAGGCAAACTGTGTGTCCTGGAGACTGAGTTTTCTAGCACACATGCTCCATGCCAGTTGGGAATATTCCCTCGCACCATTAACTTTATTGGCATAGCTATAGCTATGCATTGAGTACAGAGACACAGGGTTTTCCAGCGTGTCTTAATCATTGAAGACCTCTACTCTGCATTTTCAGGGCAGTTTGTGCTGCTACTGAGCCCAAGAGAGAAGTGTTAGAAGGAGGGCAGTTGCACAAGAGGAGCCACAAGGAAAGGGTCCTTCATCTGGTTGCCAGCTGTAAGGGGTGCAGGCACAAACAGCGCAGAGAAATAGTCCCATGGGAAGTTAGAAAGCAGCATTTCCTTCCAACATGCCAAAACAATAGTAAAACAGAGCAGTGTTACAGCTCCCCCCTGCCTTTCCTGCTTGAAGGCAGCTGAGATCCTCCTGAGCACTATGCACAGTCCCCCCCACCTGTGGGGATGTGCCCCACAGCTCTGGCCATGCTGCATGTTTCCCTTGCCCAGCACCTGCATCTGGAAGGCCTCAAAGTGCTGCTTCCCAGATGCAGTTGTTGCTCAGCCATGGGAAAGGTGCTGATCCAAACTGAGAAGATTTAGCTGTGGACAGAGGGTTATATCCTGCTAACTCATGTCAGCCTTGTCCATGCAGTCCTGGCCAGCCTGGGAATGTGCACAGACAAGGTGGAGGTTTTGCCTGCCCACCCTCCTGCCCTGAGGGCACCTGTGGACCTGTGTGGCCGTGGTTCACTTTCCTTCCCTACCCAGTGCCAAACTCTTGTGCTGAGCCAAGGCTATGGTCCATGAGGAAAGGTGAGCATGAGAAGGTTCAGCCTGTGGGCAAGGACATCTGGAGACCCTCAGGGGAATACCGCAGGGCTGTTTAAAGCCAGCACTGTGTGTTAGGTGGTAGGAGTTCTCCAGTGCCATTTGCAACATCTTTGCATCTATACTTCTTTCCCTCCTATGTGGGGCATTTGGGTGCTGGGGTTGAGGACTCACAAATCATTGCCCCCATCCCTTGTGTCTCCTCCTCTTCTCTGGATCTGAACAGCCTCTTTGCTTCCCCACACAGTCACCTCTCCATGTCTGTCGAGAGTGACGGGGGCTACATGGACATGAGCAAGGATGACTCCCTGGACTATGTGCCCATGTCTGACATGAAGGGTGAAGTCAAGTATGCTGACATCGAGTCCTCTAACTATGGCACCCCGTATGAGCTGGACAGCTATTCCCCCTCAGGTAACAGCTTGGCCACAGCCGGAGGGAGAAGTGCTTTGGGTGCTGGATACCTCTGGGATTAGTCCAGTAGTGGTGGCAGATACCCTCACAAATGAGAGCTCCTGGCTCTGCCCCTTTGTTGCTGGAGGCAGAGCAATCCCCAGTGTGTCCTTACACTGGCAGGAGACCCACCAGTGTGCTGGGTAACAACAACATCCATCTCTTCTTGCTCTCCAGCTCCTGAAAGGACAGACCGGGTAACACTGATAAACGAGTCTCCGCTCCTCAGCTACATGGACTTGGTGGGCTTCAGCTTCCAGGTGGCCAATGGGATGGAGTTCCTGGCTTCCAAAAATGTATGTATGCTGGCTGGTCTGTGGTGCCTGCTGTGGTCAGCTCTGCTCGCTGTCCCTCTGTCCATGCCAAACTCCTCCTGGGAGAACTGGCCGTGCAATTGAAGAGCTGCTGACCACTTCCTTTGGAAACACAGCCCTGGGGATCAGCATGACTACATTTGCACGTGACAGCTTGCCCTGGCTCACATCGAGCTTCAGACCTCAAATTCCCTGACTCTCTGCTCCTCCCGAGCTGTGTTCAGCACAGCTGTGGCATTATATCATCCGTATTTACTGGGATGACCAAACAGTGATAATCTCCCTGTGCTACAGTACAAGGCACTTTGCAGCAGACTATCTACTCTTACTGGACAACCCTATTGCACCTCATGCTCTGATCACCCCAGAACTCATCAGAAGTGCTTGTTTAGTGGAAATTAAGCCACCATAGAGGACTAAGCTCTAAGGTCTGGCTTAGCCCAGGGCAGGCAGTAAAATAGGTGGATCAGGTGAAGCATCACACAGGGCAGGGCTAAGAGAAGGCATCAATGCCATCAATGACATGTGGAGAGAAATTCCTGGCTCTTTGCCTCCAACCAGACAGTTTGATCCCTAAAAGAGCATAGTCAGTGCTCCCCCATGGAGCAAACCTCGGGACTGTTCATACAGAAACTTCCAACATGGTGGCATACCAGGAGGCACAAGCTAGGCTGGTGTAACTCTGATGTCTTCAGACTGCTGGGTTGGATTATCCAAACAGACATGAAGACATCCCCTCCTTGCCAGCCCACCAAGTCCCCTTGCTTGGTCAGTCCCTGGCAATTCCCTCTCTGCTGGCTTGTTCAGATTCCCCTTGCCAGATCTGTGTGTCTGTTGCTGTCACGGGGGCAGCAGTCCAGGCAAGCAGTGAAAATGTGGTAGCTCTGCTAGTGGTTGAACCATGATTGTCCCTAGAGGTGGAGGAGATGCCTGAAATTATGTAAGGTGACTCCTGTGCCCACAGCCCCAGGAATGGGCTCGTGCTGGAGCTGGGCTGCTTCCTCAGGCTGTCTGGGGACCCCTCGCAGTGACAGTGCCCTCTCTCTCCCTGCAGTGTGTGCACCGGGACCTGGCTGCCAGGAACGTCCTCATCTGTGAGGGGAAGCTGGTGAAGATCTGTGACTTTGGTCTGGCAAGGGACATCATGAGGGATTCCAACTATATCTCCAAAGGCAGTGTGAGTACCAGGAGCCATGCAAGCCCCTTCTTCCCTGAGCTCTGGGCCTGTCACCTGCTACATGGTCCCCCTGTGAGCTGTTCCCCTGTCCATCCTTTTGCCCAGAGGTGGTGACAGAGCAGGACTCCTGGGAGATGGTGTCAACAGCCAACCATCCTTCACCTCACATGCTCTGCACACTGTGGAATAGCAGAGGTGCATGCCCACATCTCCTGGCTCTTTACAGAAGAACATGAGCAGCAGCAGTAGCAAAACCAGGGGTTATCCCCTGTACACTGTCCCCATCACTGGCAGCAGTGCTGCATCCCTTCCCTGCTGGCACTGAGTGTGGCCCTGAGCTGCAGGCAGGAGGAGAGCAAGGTTAGGCAGTGTCTCAGGGCTGCAGTGAGTCACTGGCCACTCTGGGAAGAGGTTCACAGGAGTCTACTTTAACCACTAGACCACAGGGTAGGAGGAAGTGTCTTCCTGCAAACAGCTACTTTCCAGAGAGTTGTCTCCAATCTTTCGAGGCAGGAGAAGATGAGGCTGTAATTGAGCTTCTCCAGAACCTCCCCTGTGACTTCAACAACAGCACATCCACTCCAGCCCTGAGGCATTTGGGAATCTGCAACCCCAAGCAAAGCGGGCCACGTAATTCCCCGAGAAACTGAGGCTGGGGGAGTGGAGAGTGGAGCCAGGCCCCTTAAATTCTAGTCTCTATCTAATCTGTGAACTACTTAACTTCTCTCATGCTTTCTCCCATTTGCATGTGCTGTCAGACGGGCACTCAGGGCCTGGGCAGGGAGTCCCTCCTGTAGAGGGTCTGAGGTTTTTGGTCCAGCCTGAGCACAGCTTCTTTACTGTCCAAAATGGGAAATGAAACTGAGCCCCTTTGCAATCCTTCCTGGAGATTATTTTGGTATTCATTGTGCAAGCGAATCCCAGGAACAGCACAGCCAGTGCTGCATACAAGCTGGTCAAGTGAAGTCTCTTTTTATGTATCACTTTGAGTAAGAACAGAAAAGAGCTGGATATATCCTTTGGCTCTTTTCTAGTTATCCCTTAGCCCTCTTCAGCCTGGTCTCAGGTTTCCAAAATCCAGATAGGCCTGGACTTCCTTCAGGAGTCTTTGGTCGTGTTGTGCAAGTCAGTGGCCTCCTCAAGAGCTGGGAATGCACACAGTGACGTGTGTGCATTAATCACGGCAGGTTGTGATGGAAATGGATGTAACACACCCACCCTTTCCTCCTACCTGCTGGGTCCATTCTGCACAAAGAAAGAGGCAACTGGTCCCTCTGAGAACTTGCTGACAGCAGATGTCAACAAATGTGTTAGGCTGACAGGCAGCTCTGAAGGGTCTTTTTTCCTTGTGATTGGCTGTCAGGCTCTTACCTGTTTAAATAAGTGCTGTAGATGCAGCTGACTCTCTTCTTGTTTCATTTTTTATTCTCTCTTAGACCTTCTTGCCCCTTAAGTGGATGGCTCCAGAAAGCATCTTCAACAACCTCTACACCACCCTGAGTGACGTGTGGTCTTTTGGGATTCTCCTTTGGGAGATATTCACTCTTGGTAAGTGCCTTGGAGACCATGGTGGTGTCTGTAGGTCTGATAACATGCTAGCAGGATCCCTTCACAGAGACAATAAAAATCCATTTCTAATCCTGAAGTCCCAACTTTACCAGCCAGAGTAGCACTTCATTCCCTGTCTCCTTCTTTCCCATGCTGACATTGCCATTTGGAAGTGCAATGAAACAGAAAAGGTAAATTAAGAAGGAAATTTTCGTGTAAAATGCATGTTGGCATGAGGGTGGCAGGCAATCCACCAGTCTGATTTTCTGCTCTCCCTTTACACCCAGGAGGGACTCCATACCCTGAACTGCCTATGAATGAACAGTTCTACAACGCCATCAAACGTGGCTATAGGATGTCCAAACCCACCCACGCCTCTGATGAAATGTAAGTGCCATAATTTGTTTGTCCTAGACCTGCCCTACACAAACTACAGAAGCATTTTTGCCTCTGTTTTCCCCACCTGCCAATTCACCAGTGCTCTCCTTTTCCTCTTGTCAGCTATGATATCATGCAGAAGTGCTGGGAGGAGAAGTTTGAGATCAGACCATCCTTCTCACAGCTCGTGGTGCTTATGGGAAACCTCTTGGTGGATTGCTACAGAAAGGTATGCCCAAAGGACCCTGTGCTGGAGGCACAGAAGAGGGTCAGTGCTCTGAGAAGAGTGCTGCCTTGGTGAGGGCACTCACTCAGGCTTTGGAGACCAGTGTTCAGTGCTGCAATGCCAGTGAATTGCTGTGACTAGTTGGAACAGCCAGTGAAGGTGGTTTGGGCATCCTGGGGACATTGCTGAGACAACCAGCACCACCAGACAGGCAGCTGGTGTCTCAGCAACCGCGTAAATCAGAACTGGCAGGAGATCAACTGCCTCCAACTGTTTGGTATTTTGGAGCTGTGAAGTAGTGCCACTGAGCTCTCCTTAGGAAATGTCCATGACCTATCTTTGGTGGCGTCAGGGTAGCCGAACCCAGCCCCTCTCAGAAAACTCTGGCAGGCAGGGAAAGCAAACACAACACAAGTGCATTTTCCACACTCACAAGACCTTCCTCTTTCTTTGTCAACCTTCCCTGCGAGAGCAGAGGTACCAGCAGGTGGATGAAGAGTTCATGAAGAGTGACCACCCTGCTGTTGTCCGCACAAGACCCACAATTCCTGGGCTGAACAACGCCCGGCTGGCTGCCAGCTCCAACCCCAGCAGCATCCTCTACACAGCCGTGCACCAGAACGGGGGCGAGAACGACTATATCATCCCTCTTCCCGACCCCAAACCCGAGGCAATCTGTGAGCTCCCTCAAGAGGCCTCCGTCAGCCGGGCCAGGTAAAAACGTTGCTTCTGAATGTTGCCCTTTCCCCTGACTACCCAAATCTGAAATGGGGGCCTCAAGAGGAGAGGGATGCTCTGCTGAGGGATAGACTGGTGGGAGAGGAGGAGGATAGTGTCACCCCATCTGAGGGGCTGTGACCTACATGAGCCCACAGGGATGGAGATGAACCAGAGGAGCTGGAACATGAGCTAAGGTAGGGCACCATGTCACATCCCTATACATCAGTCAGCACAGCTGGGGACAAGTGACCCCACCCACAAGGAGGAAGGCACACAGAGGACCATGTTCTGCAGAACCTAACCAGCTCTATGCTGTGTTTGAGGGCTGGACAGATCCAGCTAGTATGGCCTATTCCCCTGTGGAAAGCTACTCAGATAGAGTGCGGCTGCTGGGAGCTTGACATGCTTCTCACCTGCTGGGAATCCTCTCCCACCGGGAGACTTGGGACAAGACACTCACTTTTCTCTCCCTCTTGTCTCCCTTCAGCTCTATGCTGAACGAGGCCAACACATCATCTACAATATCCTGTGACAGCCCTCTGAGCCTCCGGCAGGACGAGGAGCAGGAATCTGACCCGCAGCCAGGCTGCCAGGAGCCAACCACAGGACACCAAGAAGTGGAGGAGAGTTTCCTGTAGTCAGAGCTGGGCTGACTCTGCATCTCCTTACGGAGAGGCCAGATGAGGGGCTGACCCACATGCCACAGAGAGCCATGCTTTACACTCCTACATGAGGACATCCCCTCCTGTCCCAGCATTCCTTCTTCCCTCCCGTCTCCCTGTGTTGGGTGGGGAATTAAAGACTTTTCCCCATTGCCATCCCCTTACCCCTTATAAAGACATGGCTCAGTGCCAGAAACCTTGCAGATCACTGCCAAATCCTCCTTAGTGATCAAACCACTGCAGGAGGGAAACATCTCACAGACCAGCATCTTTTCAAGTGGAAGATGGGGGTTTGATCTCCACAAGAGACGCTACTTTCTGCATTGCTAAGATGATACTCCAGCCTCTTCCCCCTCCATGGTGATGAGTTTCATCTCCTCTGCACCAGCACTTCTCTGATGGTCTCAGCACCAGCCACGCCGTGGTTCTGTGAAATGCCACTTGGACAGATGATTTGCCTGGAGCCCAATACTGGGGTGTAGAGAACCTGCAACACCAACCTTCGACTGCTGGAGGTCAAGAGTACATTGGATTCTCCTCCAAGCACAGCCAAGTCCTGAAGAGGCCAGCCAGTGTCTCGGAGGTACTGAATTACCATTCTCCTTTCTTGACAGAGCTTTCTTGACTTTGGGATAGAGCATCACAAGCACTACAGGTACCCACGGCTCTGGGGAACAGCTCTGCACCCACCTACAGGCTGTCACACCCTTTTGTGGAACCCTTTTGTGCCCAGCATGGCACCAGGATTCCAATGCTCTCACAAGACTTGATTACAGAAGCAAAGAGGGCAGTTGATGTTGTTTGTGTTGTCTGTGTGGACACTAAGCTAATTATTCTCCATTGAAGATTTAAAGGGAACAACTATATTAATCCACTAGCCAGGGCCAGTATAAGGAAGCAATATGGCTATTCATTAATCTACTGCCACTAAGCCCAGCTCATCTGCTGGGAAATCATATAACCACGCCAGCTGCAGAATCTTTGTGCCTTATCTTTGGGAAGCAAGGGCTCACCTTTGATAAACTGTTCACCTGAACACCCTTTCTCAGGATGGGAGGTCTCACTGTTCCTTCCTGACTCACAGCAAGACTATCAGGATGCCAGAACACCAACCCAGGGACATCTCCAAAGAGAGAGAGGGAGAGAGGCTGGGAAGATCTTTGGTCAGAGCTGAACTGTCTCGTGCCCTGCCACCTTCTGGGGGTCAGGCATACCCAGGGCTGTGAAGTGTCATAGGGAACCAGGCAGAGCAAGACAAACTGGGGAGGATTCCACTCTCTTGGAAAGAGTTTTGAAGACAAAACGGGCAGAGACCTTCCTCCTGCTTCTCATCTGCTTCCTCACTTCTCAGGCAGGCCTGGGGCTTCTTGTGCTCTCAGCTGCACTTGAACAAGGAGACTCAAAGCAGGAGGAACACCAGGCTTTTGAAATCAGTTGTGAACCCCAGCTCTGCAGAGATGAAAGCTGGACCCTCAAAACCAGAGGTCTGACACCATTTACACTAGCAGGTTTTTCTCTGTTTTTCTCACAGTTTTTGACTGTGACCAGAGCTCTGTTTGCTGCATGTCCCCCACTCCCATTAACCCCTTCTTTACCCTACTCATGCACATATTTCTGTGCACCCTACAGAAACTGCACAGGCAGGTTTACAAAATCAGAAATTCAATCAGCATCTTGCTGGGCTTCTGCCACCTCAGAGCCACTGCGAATTTTTTTTTTTTTGTCAAAATATGAAACTTCTGCCAGAAATCCCCAGCCAAACAGCTTCTGTTTTATGTTGTCTACCATTCCAGTGCTGCCATTTATGTGGCTAAAAGAGAAGTAGGTGTTTTGTGGGCTGATGTCCTTGGTAAAATGTGAACATAAGAAATAGCACTTTTATTGGCAGCCACCAGAGTATATTTTCAGCCTATGTGGTCAGATTCCCCACCATCCATAGGAAACACACTGTGAATGACAACTGTTTTTCCATGCTCTGTTCCTCCTGCTTGTAATGAAGGAGCCATCTTCTATGGCCACAGTTCAGTAGATGATCCTCACTGAGGAAAAGCAGTAATTTATGAGATCCTTTGGGTCAGACCACTTTATTTTTCTACATATAAGGTGCTTGGCAGAATCTGTGTCACTGCAACTTGAGCCCATAGGATGGCACATCAGATCATCCTAATAGCCCCTGTCTGCACCAGCTCCATTTTTAATTTGTCCTTCTCTATCAAAGGTGACCAGAAGTATCCAGTACTCCAGAGGAGGTCAAATCTAGACCTCACAGGGCATTAATAGTTCTGGTTTGTGCTGGTCTTGACTTGCCTGGTGTAGCTTTGGGTAATGCTGGCCTTTTCCCAGCCACAACATACTGACAGTTTGGAGTCATCCTCTGACCAATCTAAGCACCTTCGTCTTTCTACACTTCCAGCATTTCTAACCAAGATACTCCCTGCTGTTCCAGACATTGGGTCATCAGCAAATTTTGTTTAAAAAGTGTTATTTTTGGGCTGGACTGACTAATAAAAATATGAAATACTCCTAGCATCAAGAGCAATCTGAGAGAGCTACTTTTACTACCTCCATCCAGCCCAAAAATTTCGCCATCAATTAACCCCTTCTCACCTTGCCTTTGGCCATTTGCTTATTTACTTACAAATCCTTTTCTAAACTCCATCTTGTATCAATTTAATTGCTAATTAAATTACTAATTTCCCACTATCAAATAATTTCTACAGTCCTGAAAGAGGAGATCTTATTCCTTCTGGGGGAACTCAAGTATCCTGTCCTATTAGCTGGGCATTAGCTACACTTGGATGCCTGTGGCATTTTGTCACATTTGAAGATTTATTGCAATTATTCTTTGGATCAAAGCCTGTTCTGGCTGCTGATGGGATGATAACCCCACCTCCCTCTTCCTTCTTAAAGTAGGTACGCCAGACTCCTTGCAAAATGGTACCATTCTCCCCTCCAGAGAGATATGACCAAATATTTGTCCTTGGCCCTGCAATTTTAAGAGCCAAGTCTTGCACTTTGTAGTACTTTCCTATCCTTACTCTATTCCTGCATCATTCCAGCTATTCCCATCACCATTTAGCAAGCTGCAGGGAGCAGACCTTCTCAACCCAGCACAGGCTGGCAGCTGGGCAAAGCCAACATGTTTTGCTAAGCATCCATCAAAGAAAGGGCTTGGCAGGGCTGGGACTTACAGCATCCCCCAGACAAGCTCTCTCTCCACATGGGGAGCCAGCTCCAGCCCCACGCTCCCTCTGTCTCTGCTGCCAACATTCCAGTCTCTGCATGGCCTGGAGAGTGAGGGGCAGGAGAAATGGTTGGCTGTTCTGGGCCCATCAGTTTTTGTAGCCCTACTTTTTCCAGTGAGACTCTGAAGGGAACTGGTCCCTCTGGGTTTTCAGTTTTGATGATCAGCATTTTCGTTGGGGTGTGTTTTTGTGTTCAGAGGTGGTCCCAAACTGAGCCCCCCATAAAGGAACACACGCCACAGCTTGGGCCCATCTCTTGTGCAATATCTTTTTATTTGTAGATTATATTTTACTCTACAGCTGTTACATTGTTATCAGCACCAGTATATGCATAATCCTACTGCCAGTCACTATTTCATACATACCTAAGTGTATCCCAGAAACTAATGTGTTACTCTGGTGTCTCTTTCCACATTTAAGTTGTTTCTCAGACTGATGTGTGCACAGGTTTTAATCCTTTTGTCCTTCTCGGTTTGAGCGTGTTATTTTTTTAAGCAAGAGTGTCACGTTTAGTGTTTGTTTGTGTCGTGTTAAGAAATCTATAGCACAGCGGACTTTACTTGTAACTAAATTGTCTCTGTTCACCTGCCAAGGAGACTGTGGTGGAGTCCCATGGGGATGGGAGGCAGAAGTGCAGTGCAGATGTGCAGCCAGAAGGAAGTCAGCCAGAAGTGAGAAACGGCTCTTCCCCTTCTTTCCAGTCAGGGCTCTGGGCTGGGGGAGAGGCAGCACCTCAAATACAGGGCACTGGGCAAGTAGGTTTGGCCTGTGGGGAAGCCCAGGGTCTGCCTTGGGTCTGCAAAGCTGGCAGATCTGGAGAAGGGGATTTCACAGAGTGCTAAGGAGGCAAAACCCCCTGCTCCAACACACAGGCACAAAGGAGAGCTCTGGTCAGGCTCAGTGCTTAGCTCAGGTCCCAGGACCGATATGACCAGCTCACAATCCAAACCACAGCATCTTCCACATGAGCAGGAGAGCAGTGGGCTGCTAAGCCAGACCTGGGGAGCCTGGATGCAGCCTGGCTGTGCTCCCACTTGGAGAACACAAAGGTTGCCCTTTGGTGGCCATCAGTAATTTTTTGGCATCCTTTGCCTCAGGTGGTTGTCCAAGCAGGGAGCAGCCAGGGCAGCTGCAGGTCCTCCCTAAGCGTTGGGCAGCTCCTGGACCACACACAGGTCCTCCCTGCAGCAAATCCCAGCCCTGCCCAGATGCTGAGTGGCCAGCACTGCCTGTAACAGTGAGACACCGTGTTTGCAGACCTGCCCAAAGTGGGCCAGATATTGCTAAGAACCAGATTTCCTGGACCAGCACATGGGTTCCTGCGGTCCCAACATAGATCCCATGTTACTCTCAGAGATCTGAAGTCTCTGGGAGATGCCAAGATGGATCTAGTTGGCTTTGGCAAAGGCAGGGGAACTACTCCAGTGCAGCTCCAGCAGCACTTTGGAGAGATGACTCTTGCAGGGGTAGGAGAGAAGCCAGCTTGTGCTAGGAGGCGTGCAGCATCCCATCATTCCTGTCTTTTCCTCCTTCATGGATTGATTGCACCAGGACTGCAAATCTTGCCCAAAGAGTGCCCTTTCCCACTTTTTCTGAGCTGACTTGCTGTTACTCTGCAGCATCTCTGAACAGCTGCAGCACCTGCCTCCACACTCTGTCAGAAACCATCCAGAGGGCAAAGGGAAAAAGCAGAGCACAGACTAAGGTACCAAAGAGTTAACGTTTTTCTAGGTTTACAGATGTATTTTTAGGATTTGTACTATGTCACATCTATAGCCGTGAGATATTATTTTTATGCTGTAAACTTTTACAAATACGTTTTAAAAAAAAAAGAGTTTTAAAAATAAAGTTGTTTTTCATTTTGCAAAGTTCCATCTCTTCCTTTTATTTGCCCCGTTTTGGTTGCTCCCACTCAGGCAGGGCTGGGAATACAGCTTAACCATGTCGTGGGTGAAGGCTAAGCATGTTAATACGCTGTGCATGACCCCAGTGCTTAGTGAAAGCCAAGCTGGGAGCCAGGCAGAGAGAAGCACAGCAAGGAACAGCTGAGCCCAGAGACATGGTAAGGAAAAGGGGCTGCAAACAGGACAGGATCTGCCCCACCTCTCTGGTAGCTGACCAGCCAGTGGGTCGTGTTGCAGGTGCATAGAGGGAGGGATGCTGGGAGCTGTTCCTGTGTGTATCCCCAGTGCCAGAGTTTTGGGCCCCAAACTAAGGACTTGACATGCTCCTTGGGTCTGCGCTCAGAGCAGGGTAGAGATGCAGGAGATGCCAGGCTGAACAGTGGCGGGGCTGAAGGAGATGGGAGACACCACAGCACTGTTGATTTTTCCTCATAGTTTAATATCTCAGGGCAGTGGGAGAGACTGGAGGTAGCAAGGGGGCAGGGCACAAGCAGGACATGGCAGTGCACAGGGCTCCCCAAGTCCAACTCTCCTCCCCTCCCTCTAGGACTTGCTGATAACCTTAAAAGATGCAACTCCAAAGTACTGGCCACTCCCTCAGATCCACAGGTCCCCCTGCTGCCCTCACCTTTCCCCAGTCACCCCTCCAGAGACGCTGAGGTGCCCCAGCCCCACGACAGACAGGCATCTCCTGAGTCCAGTTTTCTCCTCTCTCCTCTCCAATTAAACTGCTCCTCCAAAAATGACCCCAGGCTGCAGAGCAGAGCTGTTTGCAGCTGCTCTGAGCCATGTGTTTGAAAAGCACAGGGTTGCTGTGAAGAGGGATTTTGACCTGGTGTTCAAACATATTGATGTTGACTCTGTTTTCAGGCTGCATGATGCAGCTCCCACTGGCAGAAATTGTGCCTCCTTCAGCTCCTGGAAACCCTTTGGGTACCCCAAGGGCCCAAGGTATGCACTGCAGGAGTTTGATCCCAGTCCCAGCAAGGCTCCCCTTTCCAGCACAGCCTGTCCTGGGTTCCTGCCTTTGTTCATTTTGCCAGAGAGGAGGTCTGCAGGCTCCCTGACCAGCTCAGGCTGATTCTCCACAGATATGCTCTGAGTCACCTGGCACAGCTCGGTCAGGGCATTTTTCTCCAGGAGCTGAATCAGCAGGGGAAAAAAATCACCTCATCTTCAGAGAAGCTGCAGCAAAGGCTTAGGGTGAAGCAGAGAGGGGGAATTGATAGACCTCAGCCCTGAACCCAGTGGGCTCCCACTGCCCGATCCCTGCCTGGCAGGCCTTTAGCATGTTGGAATGCACTGAGGAGGGGGTTATAGGGCTGGAAAGCAGTAGGCAGACATGGGGACCCCCAGCAGGGCATTTTCCCCACCCCAAAATAAGTCTCCTCTCCAGTGATGAGACGGGCATCCCATGGAAGAGCTCAGGGAAGCAGAGAACCTCAGACTGCAGTGTCAAACCCTGGCCTGCTGTAACCAGGGTTTGTAGCTGTTTGGGCACTGACAGCTCAGTACTAACAGGACATGGATGTTCCACACGTGTCCCCAGACTGCTGCAGGGCAGTTCAGGCAGGCTGTGCTCATTGCAGGGGAATAGCCCAGCCCCGCTCTCAACCTGGGGAAACAAGCCTGAGCTTTGAGTGCTCCCAGCCAGGGCTCACAGCAGCCTCCACTCCCCTTTCCACAGCCAGGCTGTGGTTAACCAGGCACTGAGCAAGTCTGTCCTGGCCATCAGAACCTCCACAGACATCCCTGGGCTTCAAGTGGCTCAAAGTAAGGCTGCAGCTCCTCTGAGAACATCCCTGCCCCATGCTCAGAGCTGCCTGGGCACATGAGTCCCATCAGCACTCCTGTGGCTGAGCTGCTGCTTGCACTGATAGGATTTGGAGTGCAGCCTGCATGCAGGAAGAGAAAGCCACCAGAAAGAGAGGGACACCCAGCAGACAGCTTGTCCCAGTCAGAATCCCCATGCTCAGTCCAACCTGGGGAACCATGAGTCCAAGCTGTTCCCTTGGGACCACTGCCATCAGAGATGCTCTGCAAGGGACCCACTCAGAGAGAAGAAGGGAGGCTGAGAGATTGTTTCCCTTCTCTGTATTAAACCTGTCTGGTTTAATACTTGTTCACACTGGTGAGTCAGTTATGTCTGAGCTGGCATTTGTTCCTGGAAAAAAAACAAAAATAAAAGAACGACTTAAAAAGAAGAAAGAGGGAAACAAACATCCTTTAAAAAGCCCCTTTGGCTTAAAAGGAGGAAAGACTAATCAGGCAGATGTCTCCTGTGGCCCAGCTGCTCCACAGCTCCCAGCTCTGCACAGGAGCCCCCCAGAGCACCACTCTGCCTCCAATTGGTGTTCTTCTTCCTTGCATCCTGCCAGGAAAAACTGCTGAGAGGAAACGTTCTATGGCCAAAAGCTGTCTTTCCTTCTCCCTGGACTCCCTCACACTCTCCAGCCATTCTCTGGCCAAAAACAAGAGCTCTCTCCACATCCCCATGACTCTTAGTCATCTCCAGCACCGTCAGCCGTGCTCTCATCTCCTGGCCCCAAGACCTTGTCTTGCTGGTGCCTCTCTAACTGCCCCCTTTGGAGAAGCCCGTTCCCTGCGGTTTGTGGTGTGGGAGTGTGCAGGGCGTCCCTGCTGCCTGGCACCTTGGCACTGCAAGTGCAGATTCAACAGCCACCTCTGTGCATTTTGGAGCAGCATTTCTCTTTCTGCCCACGCCGGTGTCCCGGTCACCTCCCCGCTGCCGGGGCTGCAGCTGGGAGCAGTTGGGAGAGCCCCCCTGGCTGGACCTTCCTCCCCTGTGCTTCCTTCCCAGCACTGTCAGGTGGTGGCTGTCACTTCCCACCCCAAAGCTGCTGTGAGCAGCCCGAACTTCTGCTGCAGCATGAGGTTATCCAGAGACAGAGCAGAGAGCAAGGGGCACCCGTGCCTGACTGGACCTGCTGATCCTGTTGACTTGAGTGTCCCTGGGAGAACTGGTTGGCCTCAAGGCTGCCTTCACCCCTGTCTTGGAAGGGCCATGGTCTAGTGGAGGGTTAACGAAGTGTCTAATTTGCTAATTACTAACACTGCTAATTAGCTTACTAACTACCTAATTACTGATTGAAAGTGCCTGCCAGGATCTCAGTTATAAAACAGCTTCAAGCAGCCTCCTCACCAGTGAAGCAGGAAGGCTGGGTGGGATGGGCTCTGGGGGAGGAAGGATCTTTGCTTTAGCCCTGGGACTGCCTGGTGGTGACAGGGTTGCTGTGAGCTCCAGGGTTGGAGGTGCTGAGAGGTTCCCAGCTCTCCTGATGGGGTCCCCATGTGTCCCCCAGCCCAAAAGGGAGGGATCTGCAGGCTGGACTCCAGCATGTGATCCTGTTGGGGAAGGTACTGGAGTTAGCATGGGCATTGGGGATGATCCTGTGTGGCCACAGGACCCCTGTCTGCACTGGGAATCACACTCTTGGCCAACACAAAATAATTTGGCGTCTTCACAGGGCTTTTCCCACCTGGGAGCTGCTCTAGGCTGAATTGCATCTGTGTGCCTGTTGTGAGGGAGTCTGCCATGTTCCGTGGGGGTCCTCAGGTCCCAAAGCCAGCAAGAGCCACTGGGCCTGAGGTAAAATGTGTCCTGTTGAGGTAAAATGGAGTCCACTGCCCTCAAGGCAGGTCCCAGTCAGGTGCTTTGTGTCCCCATGCAAGTGGAAAGGGTGTAGGAGTCCCTGTGTTTTGGGGTGGCAGTAGCCAGAGCACATTGGGATTGTCCCGAACCCCAGCATAGTGCAGTGGTCCCTGCCAGCCCTGGGGACTGGAGTGGGGTTGGACCCTTTTCTGAGGCTGGAGGTGACCCCAAACAGCAGGGGGTCCCTGCAGTGGGGTGCATGCATGGCCCCACCTCTGCCACGGGGGTGTGACACTGGTGACGTATCAAAGCATTGCCTGCTTTTTTTTTTTCCCCCCTCCTGTTTCAAAAACAAACAAAATAGGGAATTTGTTAACTTGTGGTCAACTCAGAAAGGAGAAGCTCCTGCCAAGGGAGTGCTGGGGACGCAAGGAGAGGCACCCGCTGCTCGAGAGGATCCTTCAGCTGCGTCCCCCCTCCACGCTGGGGACACCACAGTCCCTGGGGACATGTGTCCTGCTCTCTTCCTGCTGCTCAGCACAGCTGGCTTCTGGCATGGTAGGTACCCTGACTCACAAAGCCCCCCAGTGCCTCCATGTCACTCCAGGGGTGTTTTGGGGTGTGGTGAGGATTTCCCGGGTGTCTGGTGCGAGTGCTCCATCCCTCCTCAGGTGAGGAGTTGTGACAACCTTGGTGGGGATGGAGCAGTGCTGAGGCTGGAGTAACAGGTTCCCAGCTCCTGGAGGTGGGGGGTGAAGTTGGGCTCCCAGTGGTGTCTCCCAGGAGGCTGCTGTGGGCTGGGACAGTCCCTGTTTCCGGAGGCTGCTGCATGAAGCAGCCACTGCTGTGGGCAGGTTCAAGGAGCCTCAGCACAGGTAGGGAGAACGTGTCTGCTCTGTGGCACAGAGTGTGGTACTTAGTGCAGACCTGGCTGTAGCAGCTTTCTGAAGGCCATCCAGGGCTGGCTGCAATTACAGAGGGAAGGCAGTGGTGGAAAGAGGGTGTGTTGCTGCTCTGTGTTGCCTCTGGAGCCCAGCTGTGCTGAGGGCTTGCCCTTGGCTGCCCTTGGCCAGGGTAAGGCCAAGGAGGATGAAAAGGTGCACGTAGCATAGGAAGAGCCTTGGCAGTGGGGAGATGGGAAAGGGAAACTTCTCTCTCTTTGGGTCTGGAAAGGGTATAGGATGAAGGAACAGTTCAGCAGAAAGTGTGGCCCGAGGGAAGCTGTCTCTGAAATAACCCTTTGCTTAAACAGGGCAAGAGCTGGAGGTGCTTGGTCTGCAGGTGAAAGAGTCAAAAAAATCAGCTG